GGGACACGCGAGGGGCGGACAGCACAGCCCCGCCCGCGGGGAGCTCACAGTCCAGCTGCAGGGGTGAGGCAGGCGCTGGGAGAGGGTGGAGAGGGTGGCGGGCGAGCCTCACTGCTCCGGGGCAATCGAGCCCTTTCCTTCCTCAACTCCTACTCCCTCACCTCCAACCCCCTCTCTCGCGGAGCCAGGCCTGGCTCTCCGCGCAGCAGCGAGAAGGAAAAGTCCGGGGCAGCGGCCGGCTGCACCACGTCCACAGGAAAGAGTCCAGAGCGGCCGCCGGCAGAGCCAAACTGCCAGCCTGGAGGGCACACAGGGACAGCGTCTTACCCACCTGCCCCTCTGTCCTCAGAGTCGTCTCCCCAAAGCCCCCGTCCACCCCCCATGCCACCCTCCCTCGCCAGCGCCCTGCTGGCCCCTGGAGAGACCTGGCTCCAGATCGATGGCCGGCAGCAGCTTGATGAGGTCCCCGCGGTGGAAGCTGAGGAGGCTGCGGTCATCGGTGATATAGCTTCGCGCTTGCCTTCTGGAGCTCACTCAGGAAGAGCTCCACCATGGCCTTGATGGCACCTGCCCGGACCGAGTGCAGCACCAACTGCTCGCTCTTCAGTGTCAGCTCCAGGGTGGAGCCTCCCCGGCACTCTATGCCCAGCACCTCAGCAAAGCTGTGCACAGGGTGGGAGCATGAGCTGGGGGCCACCTCGCCACCTCCAGCCCCCTACCAGCCCAGCCCCACCTGTAGGAGCAGAGAGTCTTCAGCTGGTGGAGGCCGACGCCGGGCCCACGGGCCAGCTTGAGCAGTCTCAGTCCCCGATGCGACACGCCCAGCAGCTGCACGTTGCTGCCACTCTCGCCCTGCCCAGAAGGGGGTCACAGAAAGGCCGCTGGGTCCCCTCCAACACCCAGGATGCCTTTGTTTCCTCTGGGGCCCACCCCACCCCACCCCCTACTCCCATCCCTGCTGCAGAAGGCCCTGGCTGTGTGCCGGGGTCCAGACTGGGTGCTGTCACCCCTGCCCTGCCCCCACCTCACTCACCGAGACCGGGAAGATGCGAGAGAAGTAATTGGCCCAGTTGTCCCGAGCGGCCACCACAATGCGCTTCTTGACACTGTCCTCAGTGGTGCCAAGTGAGTCCAGGCCCACCTCCAGGTCTCCTGCGGGCAGGGACGGCCCCAGCCTGTCCTGAGGCTCCCCAGAGAGCGAACCCCAGAGTCTGCTCTCTCCCTCCGCGCAGGCCCGGCCCCCAGCACCCCAGCTCCCTGACTCCAGGGTCCCTGGACCATACCCAGCAGGTCTTTCATTCTGCACCGCTCGTCCTGGGAGATCCGGGTGCAGGACTCAGAAAAGGTGTCCCTCAGGATCTGGGGGCAGAGCCAGGTGGTCACCACCAGGGCCCGAGGCCAGAGCCCCCCACGAAAGCTTCACACACTGAGAAGCTGGGGGGCCCAAGGGCGGAGATGGAGCAGGAGAAACATGGGGCTTCCAAGTCCAGGGCCCCACCACCCTGAGCTCTGCCTGCCTCCCCGAGTGCCAGCTGCTCCTCGGTCAGCGGAAGTAAGCCTCCCTGAAGCAGAACTTGGGGGAGGCTATGGAGATCAGGGGACAGGCACGGTCCTGGGAGCATCCAGAGGCGGCCATGGAACAAGCACCAGGAGCACCTACTGTGTGCTGGAGCCTGTTGGGCACTGTGTACAGGACCCTTAATCCTCGTGGCCAATAATGGTCCCTACTCACAGGGGTGTGAGGGCTTCAGAGAGGGGGCGGGGCTGGAACCGCACAAGTGCCCCACAGGTGCTGGCTGTTATCCTGCCCTCCCCCGGGGGGAACGCCCAGGGGTGGGTGCGCTCTCACCTGCTCACAGAGGAGCCCGAGGTTGTAGGGGTGGCTGAAGTTCTCCCGCGGGTAGAAGACCTGGAAGAGGGCATGGAGAGCGAGGGTGGGCATGGCGTCCTGCGCAGCCCTTCCCGCTCCCCTTCACCCCCCACCCCCGCCTCTGCCTTCCAGGCCAGACAGAAAATCCCCCGAAGTGGTCGTGGGCGGCAGATCCCCGTGTTTGTGTGTGGGGAGCAGATACTGGGGTTCCCCAGCGGGTTCCCGCACAGCCTGCCACCCCCTCCCCAGCCCTCATGCCCACCTCCTTGCGTAGGAACAGCCTCCAGGGCGCACTGGTGTAGGAGAAGCACACGCTGCCGGAGGGCACGAGTAGCTGGGTGCTCACCCCCTGATCTCCCATGGACCCCAGAGAACCTGGCAGAGGAGGTGCCGGGAGCACCGGGTGAGGAGCGGCCAGAGCCAGAATGACGGGCTCCGGGCGAGAAGGCCCTCGCCGCCCCAGCCCCTGGGAGGCCCACCCCTCGCC